ATAAGCAATCCTGAAAAATAATTTAGGGGGTGGCTTAACTTTTTTCCTAGGTGTATATATATATATACACACACACATATATTTCTCAAGAAACAATTATTAGAATATAAATTTTTAGCTACCATAAAAGAACATACTAATTTAAAACAGTTAAATCAGTTACCCTTTTGTCTAATGTAGAAGCTGAGATATGATTTTAACATCTACAGAAAAGTAAATTATTGTAAACCTGACAAAGAAGGGAGTGTATAGGTTATGTTTATTTTTCACTTAAATCCTAAGAAAGAAAATAGTGCAAGCTTGTTTTCAATACTTTCCTGGTCTTCTACATTCCTGTCGCAATATTTGAATTGTACAACTTATAACTAGAAATACAAACAGAGAAAAGAACATTAATAAATTTGATTTTTAATATCCAATCTGCAAGTAAGGGGGACATTTTTGGTGGGTTGATTTACAAACAAAGCTTTCTGGTACTCTTCTTTTGTTTAATTTCTGAATTGAAATTTGCACTCCTTGCAATATGTGGAATCAGAATTGCCGACCAGCGTGACCAAATTTGCACTAATTTTCAGGCCATGAGAGACTAAAACCCATACCCCCATCCAGTCTCCAACACAAAACATGATAGTGGCCACAAATGTTGCATAATACAAGATCTGGTTCCTCAGCTCTATCAGGCAATTTTATCTGCATTTTCCCAAGTTCTATTGATTTAAATGAATGAGGAATGCTCCTGCCTGAAATGGAAACACTTCTACTATTTTGTACAAGAGGAAAATAGTCTGGCAAATACTCTAAACTCTGTAATTTTGTGGCCAGATACTAATGAAAGGCAATTGCTTTTGGCAGTAAAATGTTGTTTTTTTAGGTTAAAAGATCGAGTCCTTTATCCCAGTAAATGTTTTTCTTCATTCTAACTAGAATATGGGAAAGGTGACACCCAATCTCCAGAATTCGGTCTTATTGACTCGTAGACTGGGTTTTAAGTTAAAAACAACAA